CTTCCAGCGCCCTTGGGATTGCAAGGGCTAGGGGCGCGGCCTCGACGGCCCGATCTCCGGGACCCCTGCACCCATCAAAGTGGCACCTTGGGCCACAGCTTACGCCCGCTAGAGCACTGCTACGCGCACGCATACACACGCACACACACGCCTACCTTTGATCGCTGCCCCGCGTCCCCTCGTCCCCGTGCACAACCCTGCCTGCCCCCAGGTGCACCGCCCGACCCACTTCCTGGAGTTTGCCACGCTGGAGGAGGCCGACGCGGGGGTGGACGTGGAGAACCACTTCACATGAGAGCACGGCTCCGCAGGACAGGGGCCTCCGCCAACGAGGGGCGCCGCTGGGGCCCGGGGGCGCGGACGGGTGGTGCCCGCCCCGCCCCACGGCGGCGCAGGCGGCGAAGGCGGGGCGGCCGAGCGTGCTGCCGGCGGCGGCGCAGCCGACGCGGGCCGGTTGCGTTTTTGGGGCTGGCGGCCCGCCTACCGGCGGGGGTACGCCCAGAGTGGCGTCAGCAGCCCGTGCTTGGTCGGCTCGGCTGGCGGTGCCCCCCGCGACGCGTGGAGTGCAGCGTGCCAGCTCGCGGTGCGGCGCGCGTCGGCGTTCCTGCGGTTTCTCTCACGTCGCTTTTGTAGTGCAGACAGGTTAGGATCATCGAGCCCTCGGGCACGTTCTTTGTGCTAGGTAGCGGGTTCCGTTCCATTCCAGCGTTTGTGTTTCGGAGCGTCTGGGTTCTGTGCATGCTCATCGGCGGTGTTGAGGGCTCGGGATGGCGGCAGCCGCCCGCAGGGCAGGCTCGGGTCGTTGCTCGCGCGCCTTCCCGCCACGCGTCCCTGGCCCCTAGCCGGCGGCGACACCGTGCCTCGGCCCTCCTGCCTGTGATGTCTCGCGTACCAACCCTGTGACCTGTGTGCATTTCCATCGCAGCCTCTGCCCTGCGCGATTCCGCGGCGGCTGGCGGCTTAGTCACTGTGTAACTGCACATGACACATGTGTCCCCTCACCGTCGCACCCACAAGCCCGCGATGCTGTCAGCGCATTGTAAGCAACAACACAAGCAAGCTGGGAACACAGCTATTGGGCAGGGCTAGTTTGGGTCAATGGGCGGCGCAGCAACACACATGCACAGTCGTGGGCAGGTGCATGCTAATGCACGACGGCTGCTGAACAGGTGACTGCTTTTTAGGCAGCGAGCTGCCCGTATTGGCCGGCATCAAATGACGCTAGCCGCTTTTCCACCAATGCGAGACGAATCCGCCTCGGCGCGATGTGTCGTGCCACGGCACCTGCTCACATGATCCAACTCAATGACAACTCCCCTGCCGCTTGCCCCAGATCAACTTGTGCAGGTCCCCGATGCTCACGTCTCCACTCCATGCGCGACTGCTGCACATCCACGCGCCGCCCACGCCCCCACACACCTGCACTCCTTTCGTGCGTCTTCACTGCTGGGCTCTCGCAGGCCGCGTCCTGCCATGTGTCTGGCTGCATGAAAGAGTGCTACATGTGCACGTTCACGACATGGAGCCACCACTTCATTCGTGCACGCAAATGCCTGCCACTCTAAACACTGCGCTCGCTTGTGGTGTCTACAGCAGGCCTGGTGCACGCGCACGCAAGCGCCAACCGGTGATGAGATCTCGTCTCTGCTTATGTGATCAGAGGTGTTCCGGCGAGGACGCGAGGAGATGAGGAAACTTGGCGCTGCCGCTTGCACCTCACTCCCAGGCCTGCTTTGTGCGCTCAACCTGCCAGGACGACGGCTCCCGGTGCTGGTGCTCACCCACCCTGCTCCCACCCGTGCGCTCGGCGCCCTCGCATGCCGCTACCTGCTTGACCCTGCACGAAAGTGTTAAGAATGTTTGCATGCATGCTACGATGGACTTTAACTATATTTGCATTTGATGTGCAGGACACACTGCTCGCACGTGCTGGTGGGAATTTGATGCGGCTGCGTGGGTGCCTAATATGACATGATGTGCATTGACAATGATGCCCAGGACAAGGCGCCACCACACTCTCCGATGTTGCCAGCTAAAGTTCCAAGCTGATGCAATGCCCCCTCACTTCACTTTTCAATGTTAGTTGCTAGCCGTGAATCTGTGAGGGCCTGGGGCAGCATCTTCGACCTCAGGCCATGCATCTCCTGATGATGGTCAAAGCCAAGGGTGGCGGACGTCCGGCGGAGCCACAAGCAGCTCTGGAAACAGACGATCAAACAGATACCTTAGTGACACGGTTGTGTCGAGCGCTGCAGTGGCCCGCGCAGCTACCCCCGCGGCCACAACTTGAAGAGTTTGACGTGTTTGGCCGCGGGGATCGTAACATAAAACAGGGTTTGAACACATCCAGTGTCAGCTGCTCGGACGTGCCGCACATTGATCGGCAGTCCGCCCGCCGCGAGCGGGCAGGGGCGCATCAAATGCAGCGCGTATCGACTACAGAGCTGCTGCTCGACGCCTTTGTGCATGAAGACTTACTCATGCACCTGGCAGACCAGGTGGGTAGGCAACGGGCACCGGTTGCAATGGCGCAGGATGTTTCCAAGTGGGAGGCCAGGGTGGCAGGGCAGGGGTACATCCTTGATTTTGACTGAATGGCGCGGACTGTTGACACTTTGACACGCGCGCTCGCTGATCAGATATCACCTGCTTTTGTCATGCAGTGGGAATGCGGCAGCAGCAGATCTTCCTGCGACGACAGCGAGCAGAGCAGCAGCAGCGGCCAAGGTAGCAACTGCAGCAGCAGCAACGGCAGCAGCTGCCCTTCCTTCCGGGCAAGCCACATGCAGATCAAGGCGGCGGCTGCTGGCCTCATGTCATGCCTGGTCTATGGCGGGACCCCCACGGCCGAGGCCGCGGCAGTGCCCCCGTGGGTGGCCAACGGCAGCGCAGGTCGGCGGAACCCTGCCCGGCGCTGCTCCCCTGGCAGGTGCGCGCAACGGGCCTCGCTGCGCGCCGTTGCGCTTGTGCACAGTGCACTTGCACATGTGCTGTAGCCCTAGCTTGCTCTTCGCCTCGCGTGTCTGTTCCTGGTACAACGTCATCTAGCATGCCCATACGCCCCTCTGCGATCTTTGAGACGACGGTCAATACGCAGCCAATTGCTTGCTTTGGGACCTCACACCATCTTCATTTTGAGATGCCTATCCATCGCACACCCCGACCACCCCTGCGCCTTGTCAGCGACCTGCCGGCGGTCGTCCGCCGTTCCAGCGCGGTGCACCTGCCAGGAAGCTGCAGCACCCTGCGCCGCAGGGGCTCGGGCTGCCGCGGCAACGGCGGCAGCGGCCCCGGCAGCAGCTGAGGCATCCAATCTGCGCGCGGTGGCTGCAGCGTCGGCCAACCCGAGCTCGCTTGTGCCCCCCACTGCACGGAAGAGCGGCAGGAGCCGGGGTGACAGCTGCGATGCCGCGGCCTGGGCAGCAACAGCAGCCCCTGCCCAGCGCGTTCTGCCCCCGGCAGAGCATTCACCACAATATCCTGATAACAATATGATAACAACACGATGCGCCGCTAATGGTGCTTTATGGACTCAATCAATTCAGGAAATCAGACACGTACATTGTATAAATACTTGTTTATATCTGTCTGGTCCGGATGTGAGAGTGCACCTCTGTTGGATGTTGAAGTGCACAAACACACAGTGCATGTTTCCTCCCGTCTAAAAACTGCTTGATGCTGTGCTAGGAATATGCACCTAGTTCTGCCGAATGCGTACTGTGCTTCCACCGCAACTGCATGCAATCCCTTTGATTGATTTGAAGGTCGAGACCTCTGGTCGGGGTTGCTGAGCGTCCGCCACCATCAACCACCAACGGACAGCGCTGTTTGCTCACACCTGAAACAAATGGATCTGCTGCGGCGTCGCTCCGGACTGTTTGGTGGGCTCCAGGTGCCTTATGCCTGGCTGCGCCATGTGCTGCAGCCTCCCCCACGAGCTGACCGCGCCCCAATGTGCCGCACGGGTCGCTACATGTTGATACTGCTCACAGTGTGACGCCCCCTCTCATGGGCAACGCATGAAATGGCGTGCTGCACCCCCTGCGCGCGCCCCTGGCCGCTCTTGCCGCCCTTATGATACTTGCCTTTGGATCCAGATCAGGCTCCATGACACCTCGCATTTTGCCCCTTGGCTTTTTATCACGGGCCTGCTGGATCGCCCGCGCCGGGCCGGTGGTGACGGCGCGGTGTAAACGGGTCGCCTAAGCAGGGAAGCTGGTGACGTCGGTTGCTCAGCATAGCAGCTGGTGGAACGGGACACCTTGTGTATGACGGCAGAGCTTATGCCATAGCTTCTTCTGGACGGCCAATCGTTCGTTGTCACCGGCGCGCACCATCGATCCTACTTGGCAATTTGTTTGCCACACGCACTTATTGTACAAGTGCAGAGCGAAAGCTGATTCCGCATCACCTGTTTGAAAGTCCCAGGAGGTTTACTGCAGCCGACGGGATGGGGAACCAGGGCTCAGCCCTGCTGTTGACCCTGCTTGTGGGCGCGGCGGCGCTTGCCGCTGGCGACACCCCTTGCAGAGACATGTTTGGCAACCCGGCGCCCTGCATGCCAGGCGCGGAGGACGCGCAGCAGGCGTTTCCGTCAATGGCATACGCGCCCGCCGGCTCCCTGGGTGCGCCACCTTTCCCCGGAACACCCGGGCCCCCTGCCGGCTTCGGTGCTGCCGCCGCCGCTGCTGGTCCAGGCCCCATTTTCCCCGCAGCCCCTGGGATGTCCGCCTTCTTGGCGGGCCCCTGCGGCGGCAAGTGCCAGCAGGGCGAATTTTGCGACGCGTCGGCCGCGTGCCGCCCGGACACCTGCCAGGATCAGCACACCTATGGCTGCCCCGACGACAGGGAGCCGCTCCAGGCAGTGGCCTGCCCCCCGGGCTTTGCCGAGTGCTACTCAACGTCCGCATTTGAGTGCTTCAAGGGCCCGGGCGCCAGCCGCGTGTCGTGCCGCGGCCGCGGCGGCGCGAGCTCAGCGTCTTCGTCGTCCTCGGGCGGCGGCGGCGGCGGCGGCGCGACGGACGCGTCGGCTTCGGCGTCAGCCGGCGGCGGCGGGGCGGCGCCCGCGGCGCCGGGGGGCGCCGCGGACGGCCCCAATGCTGTGCAGACATCCGTTGGTTCCACCACCAGAGCCGACACCAAGAGCCTGGGCAGCGCTAGTTCGCAGCCAGTCACCACGCCGGCGCTGGCCGCCCTCGTCGGCGGCGCCAACGCATCCGCCGTGGTCGACAGCGCCAGCCAGGCGCAGGCGCCGCTGCCGGCAAACCTCCCCGCCCAACGCACAACCAGCGCCGCGGGCGCGCGCGGCGCGCCGCTCTTCGGCCTGCTGGGCAGAAGCGCGTGGGCGCGGCCGGCGTGGGCCGCCGCGCTCATGGCGCTGCCGTCGTTCGGCAGCGCGCTTGGCGCCCGCGCCAGCGCTGGCTTCGGCGGTGGGTTTCTATGGGGTGCTGTTCTTCCGCGCTCGACCAGTCTTGCTTTGGCCTGCTTATTTTTGACGGGGCTGGGCCGGCCCCAAGCCTAGGGAAATTCGTGGTGGTGCGCGCCTCCCTAACTGACTGAGGACGGCGTCCAGCAGCCGCTCCCTCCCCGAACACAGCCCCTCCCTCCACCCCCACGCTCGGTTCCCGCATCCGCAACCTTTCCCTACAACGCCCCCCAGGCTTCGACGGCGCCGCCTTTTTTGACGAGTTTGAGGCGATGTGGGACAAGTGGGAGGACGCGATGGACCAATCCATGGCGTCACCTCATCCGGGCGCCGACGCGTTCACGCGCCAGCCTTTTGGCTCGGGGGGCTTCGGCGGCGCCAGCGGTGCCACCGCTAGCGGCGGCCGCGCGCCGCGGGGCGGCGCCTCTGCATCTTCGTATAGCAGCAGCGGCCGCGGCGCGGGCGATGTCGACGACTGCGCCGAGCTGCAGCGCAGCCAGTGCGCCGGCGACGGCGGGCGTCTCAAGACTGTGGCGTGCCCCGCCGGCGGCAGCTTCACCACCTGCTACGAGAGCGAGGGGGGCGGCTTCAAATGCTACCTTGGTGGGGGCTCCAAGTCTGTCGGGTGCGCGGTGTCAGGCAATGGGGGCGGCCGCGGCCGCGCGCACGCGCGGGCGTCGAGCGCGGCCGGCGGCGAGAGGCAGACGGTCAGCGCGAGCCGCCGGCGGGCGTGAGGGGCCGGGCGGTCGCTGCAGTGATGTGTTGTGGTACAGTTGGAGTTGACGTGTGAGTATCAGGTTTCACAGTGTGCACGCGTGTCGCTTCTCCCCTTTGGGTTTGTGTAATACCGCGGCTGCAGCCACTGGTGTTTTGACCACCCCTGCCACCAAGCCTCCCCTGACACCTGGCATCATGCTTTGCTGCCAACACGTTTCCATTGGGTACTGAGTACTGTTGTGATGTATGTGATTGTCCATGCCAGATTGTTGAGCGCTGTTGCGTGCTTGCGCTGAAAGAAGGGCGCGGCGAGACCCGCAGCATTGTGTGGCATTGCAGCTCGTGATCACTTACGTGCTTGCCTGCAGATGATGCCAGCTGCCTTGATGCGCGCCGGCACTGCGTGCAGACTAGTCGTCGCTTGCAATTTTTCGGTTTGTGTAACGTCAGAATTCAGGCACTGAAAGCTAGGACCCTGGAATTCCGCGAGCAGCTGTGGCGCGCTTTGGCTGCTGCATTGCCTTCCTCACTGTTTGCATCGCAAAGCAATGGCAGGCCTCACAGCGTCCTGGGTCACCATGAGTGGCAATCCCTCGTTCGTAAGCAGTGCCCAAACCGTTCAGTAAATCTTCTATCGATTGCCACCCATGCCCATCGAGGCCATGTCTTTGTGGATCTTCATTCCGCGCACTGTATGTCCAGATGTACAGCAAGGCGCCTCCGCTCCTCCCACCCTGGTCGTGGACATGGTAGCTCGGCGTCGCCTGACATGCTGTCTGCAGTCCGAGCACCTCACCACTTTGAGCGTGTTGCAGCCTACTCAACCCCCAATCCCCACTTCATTTTCGAAATTCAGATCCACCAGGGTTGGGCATCCCAGAGCCGGCACGGCTGCGATCGCCAGACAGCCAGTGCTGGCGCATGACACATGCATGCGTGTGTGCGCATGCTCATGTAACATCGCAGTTGCTGCTAGCTGCAGCCCACCACCAGCGAAGCACAGACTCCACCGTGCTCTTGCCAGCCTCCGCTGGACAGCTGCACTCATGCACAGACCACGCGGGCCAGACGGCCTATACTCATCGCAGGAGGTGCTAAATCACGGTCTCAGAATTCGGTTTGGGCTTGCCCCTATGAAGGGATGGTCAGGTTATGGGACGGGTGCCACCTCAGCAACGACAATGCACGCAGCGGCTCTACGCATACCGCTTTTTGGATGCAAGTGCACAGTATACGACTCTTTAACCTACAAATATGATGCTTATGATTTGTGTGGCCTCTTCCACGCGCTAGACGCGGCAACAGATCGTTTGGAGTCACTCTGCACAACATGGCGGCCCGCCTTGCAGTCCTGTCAGGACAGATGACAGCGGCAACCTTGAACCAGGCCCCGTCTGGCCCGGTGAGGCGTTGCAGCGGTCGAGCGCTTCGACCACGGCGGCACCAGACGCTGAGGTGGCATGCTGCTGCTCCGGCCTGCAAACCCGCAGCGGGAACGCCCCAGCCCTTGAAACTTGTCTGGCTCCCACAGGGCTGCGTTTCAAAACTGTTGTTGTTCCATTTATTCGCCTCAGGTCTCAGGGCGCATGCGGCCCTTTGCTGCTGCCTCCTAGGGGCTCATTCGTAGCTGCTGCCACTGACACTGCTCATTGTGTGGCATCCCGCGCACGTCACCGCTGCGGCCCGTAGGCCAGCATGGACATAAGCGGCCTCTGCCCCAACAAGCTGGGCGCCTACCTGTGCCATGACAACCCAGAGCTCCGTCAGGCCATCTTCGATTTCCTCAAGGCGAGCAGCAGGCAGCGACCCGCCACGCGCGTCCGCTGCCCATCACCTGTGGGGCGGACCGCCGCCGCCGCCGCTGCCAAGTGATTTCCTCCACTCAGCACGCTCATGCAGTGGCGACTCCGACCCATGCAAAGCTGTTGATCTAAACTGTCATGCATCGGCGTGTGTCATTGCATCCACCGTAGGACCCGCTGTACCAGCCGGATTACTACCAGAGCATGATGGAGTTCAGGGAGCAGACGCTCGTGCGGCTGCAGAGATTCCTGCAGCAGCGCTTCTTCTCTATCAGGGACTACCTCACCGGTGCGCACGTGTGTGCAAAGGGTGTGTGTAGGGATCAGGGACTACCTCCGCGGTGCGCACGTGTGTGCAAAGGGTGTGCGTAGGGATGCTCGCATGCGCGCGGAAGGTCTTGTGTGTGTGAGTGTGTGTGTGTGTGTGTGTGTGTGTGTGTACGCATGCATGGGACTTGGCATGTGCGTTTGTGTGTGGTGTGCACGTGTGGTGTTTCTTTTGTGCGCGTGGGTTATTGGATCGGTGTAAGTGTGAACGCTCTCGCCTGTGTGTGCATCTGCAGGGCTGTGGCTGGGGCGCTTTCCAAGGTGGTGCTAGGCCTGTGGCTGCGGCGTGGCCAGCGCCGGGCACTGCTCCAGGCAATTCAGAGGAAGCTAGTGCTGCCTGCGCCCCGCCATACACCATTCAACCCGGGCTCGTTCGCCGTCCACATGCGCCACGCCGTGTCGACGCAGACCCCCGCAAGTTCCAGGCCGCGCTGGAGTGCCTCTCGTTCTGCGACTACTCCCTGGCGATCAAGTGCGGCGTCCACATGACACTGTGAGCGCACGCGCGGCGGGCGGCTGCGGCCCCTCGCGGCGCCCTCTCGCGCGCAACTCACCCCTGAGCACGGCTGCTCTCAAGGCAGCCTGTCTGTGGGCGCGACCCGCGTCCCGGCGGATAGGTTTGGAGCCGACTAAGACTGCCAGCTGCGCGTACGCCTTCCCAGCCGCGCCTGCAACGGCTTGATGAACGCACGCCGCTGTGCGGCTGACTGCATGACGTCATCCGTGCCTTGAGGCCGGCCTGCTCAGCCGACCTTGCCGCCCGCGGTCTGTCCCACCTCCTGCGGCCCCCGCCAGCTGCGGCGGCACCATCTGCAAGCTGGGCACCAAGAAGCATCACGACGCCTTCCTGCCCGGCATCGACTCGCTGGCGCTGCCGGGCTGCTTCGGCATGACTGAGCTGGGGCACGGCAGCAACGTCATGGGGATCGAGACCACGGTGAGGCGGACTTGCTGGGGCGCCCAGCGCTGCGCTCGCATCCTGCCCTCCCCCTCCCTTCGCAGGAGGCATCATTGGGGGCTGCATTGTTTCTGTCATGATAGGAATTTGGGGCTTGGGTGTGGTGTGGACAGCTTGTCTGCTGCGACCCCCTGCCAGCGCTTGCGCCCATGCGCTACAGCCCTGCCCCCCCTCCGAACGGCCCCCCACCTCCCTGCTCCGTCAACCTGCAGGCGCACTACGACCCGTCCACGGGCGAGTTCGTCATCAACACCCCCAATAACGAGGCCTCCAAGTTCTGGTGAGCGGCGCAGCCCCAACACAAAACGCGCGTGCGGGCCCACGCATCCATGCAAACGCAGGCCACCACCTGCGCATACAGTGTTACCATTCAAGCCTGTGCAGGGCGCCGTGGCTGCCAGTCAACTTGCCAGCACACACGTCAGGCGCCTGCCCACCACGACCCCCCAACCTTTGGACACACGCACCCAGGATCGGCGGCAGCGGCCAGCACGGCAAGCTGTGCGTCGTCTTTGCGCAGCTGACCGTCGCCGGCAAGTGGGAGGGGCCGCACGTGTTTGCGGTGCGCATCCGCGACGACCGCGGCGCCGTGATGCCCGGCGTGAGGATCAAGGACATGGGGCCCAAGATGGGGCTGAACGGCGTGGACAATGGCCAGATGTGGTTTGACCACGTGCGGGTGCCCAGGTGAGGCGGGCGCGCGCGCGCGCGCCAGCGGCTCGCAGGGCGGGGACGATGCATGGGTGGGCTCGTGCTTGTGCGTTGTCCAAGGAGATTTTCCCTCGTTGCACGACAACGTGCGTCAGTCTTCCGCCTGCCGGCAAGGTGAGGGCAATACCACCTTCGACGCGATTGCACCCTGCCTTTTCCAACCGGCCCCGCTGTCGTGCCACGTCCAACCCCCCACCCAACAACCTGCCCACCCGCCCAC